TAAGAGTTTGTGTGTTATTGAAAAGCACAGTGATGACATCCCTAATATTTATAGTATTTCGTAACGACATTTAATGAGCGAATATGTTGTGGTTCAATTTAATCCTTGGCTTAAATTTTATTTTCCTTTGTTTTGGGGTATGGTAATGTTGATAATGAGTTTGAAACAATTAGCAAAATAAAATTTAAACCAAGGATAAAATTGAACCACATTAACACATATTCTGGAGCAGATGTGGAATAAAACAGAAAATTATGTGACTATTTCATTTTTAAACTTAAATTTAATACAAGGATTAAAAAATTTCAATAGTTTAGCTTCAAACATTTAATGGTTTATGCACAATAAAATAAAGTTTAACAGTCGTTTATCGTTAGTCAAAACTGGCCAATCGGGTCAGTTGCCGTATTAATTAATACCGTCAACTGACCTTATACAACTCAACCACGGCTCTGAAGATGACTACTGCACAGGTTGTTGAAACATCAGGTACTATCAACAACAGTCCAGGTGGAGTGATTTCACTCCGACCGACATTCGAGACTATACTCACCTGGATGATCACACTTATCACCTACTTATGAAATGACTTTTGGGTTCAAACCTTGCACTTAAAGTAATCTTACTTTGAGCTTCTCTAAGGACATCTGCTTTGTGTCTAAGACCACTTCTGAACTCTGAATGGCCATTAGCTGATAGATAACAGAGAATTTTAAGGACCTAAAATAGAAAATCAAGATGTTTTTATCAAAAATAGTACCGTAATAATCAAATAACACTATTAAAGGTCCCAGCACATGGCCAGCATCAACAAACATGCATGTGTATGCATGCAGGGTTGTCAGAAAGCTTTGAAGTAGATGGCTGAGTTATCAAAGTAAGCGGCAAGTCCAGGGATATTTTATTAAAAAAACGCCATTCATAAAGAAATGCTAAGCAGAGTAGCTGGCTGATACTAACCAAGTAGGCGGCGATTTTCGCCTGCAACCGGCTACTTTTGACAACCCTGATGCATGTGACCAACAATCAACAAACACTGTTATGAATTTTCTTCCTTTTTTGCCTCACTGAGGTAAACAAATTTAATATTGAATGACGGTGAAACATGACCATTCCTTTCACAACTTTATTCTTGCCTATCTGAATTGAATGCTACAGAGTTTTGGGCAACATCCTTCTCAGAAAAAAACAGGAAATATACACATCAATGAACAATGGCTTTCGCCCAGGCTGTGCACAATAAGAAACTACCTTATTACAAAGGGATATCTTCCCACCTAATTCTCTTGGATTGAGGCTGCCAGTATGTGAAAATCTGACAATTTTTAAGAAGAATTTTCTTTTAACCAAATCACACTCATTCCCTTTTTCACCAAGCCATTTACTTTGCCATTTCTGAGTTGTCCAAAGCCTTTGTATTAACAATCTCGTCCACAGAGCCTCTGTTACTTTTGTCCAGCAGATGGAGCAACTGACAGTTAGTGATCGCTGTCACTGTACAAAAGGATTGCGGCCTCTGGGAATGAGATTGTTGTTTCAAAGTGAGGCTAAGTGCAAAGCCATATATCAGAAAATGATTTTTTATTCTCATGTAAACAAAACTGAGTTTCACAAGAAAGGTTTTGCACTTCACCTCATTTTGAAAGTGAGAGTTTTTGGAACTTGGAAATGGCCTATCATATACAGTTAAGAATGAAATGAGAGACAGCTGTAGTGTAATTTTTTTACAACTACAGGTATGTGTCTTACCTTGTATTTGACATAAGGAGATTTGTTTTTCAGTCTGACAACTAAATAATCCAATAAAGAGTTGCAGCTGCTAATTGATTCATAAGTTATGCCTGATTTACACATCAAGGAAAACATCCCACAGTCACTAATGTAAAAACAGCATCTAAATAACCCTTAATTATGGTGGTTAGATGCAGTTGAGTGAAATTTAACACAGTTAACAACAAAGAGTGCCACCTCTTGGAGTCTAGTCAGATGACATTTATGTGTCACAATCTCAGTTAGCCTTGGTGGCATCAGCTTTATATGTTTGGTGCCTTGTTCAATGTGGCTGCAGGGCTTTGTTTAGCGTTTAGATCCTGCAATCTGCTGAGTGATGAAGGTGTTAGCATATAGGGGTACAACTTAAGCATTTCAGTGATAAGAACAGGGTCCAAATGAGGTCTTAAATTTATATCCGAAAATATTGATGAATCCAAAACTACATGCATGCACTGAAAAAAAAACATAGTTATTTTGCACTTACATGTAAGTTTAATGGATATTTTCTGGAATTGACAGTCAGCACATTTAATTGGTCAATTATTGCTAACCATCCACATATGATTGGTGATTCTAGCAGGGCTGCAATTATGAGCCGGGGGCCAGGGATTTCCTGCAGCTGCTTTCAAAGGAAAATAGAAGAAAAATAGAACCAAAAGAAATCTTTAGCTGTATGATTCCTCATCTACTTGTTGTATTTACCCAGCAACTTGAAATCTTAGTGACATCCCTGTTCTAGTAATTCTTGCCATGGGTGGTAATTTTGGAATACCCAGCCTGGCAATGAATATTGTTTGAACTAGAAACAAGAAGGAAACTAGCTAGGGCAAGGTAACTTTCGCAACGACTTCTGAGACTGTGACTGGGGACAAAGGGAAAAAATATTGGCCAACAGCTGATCAATGGACCTTGAAGAAAGGGGACGTGCGGAGGCTGGAAAGCTGTGAGATGTGGCTTTGAAGAAAGGTCTTAAACATTTCTTGGTCTGACAAAGTCTGTAATGAAGAAGCATTGAGGCATGTCGGTGAGGAGAAGGCCATCATATCTGTTACCAACAGGAGGCAGAGGGTGCTTTCCATTCAACCAAAAATTCCAGAAATTTCGGTTGGTACATCAAAATGGAATTGACCATTTCAGTTTGGTCCAACCGGATATATTCGGGACCAGCTTTGAAGGTGGTCCACTTTGACTGGTCTGGTTATCTCTGTCGGTCGGACCGAAATGCCCCGTTCCATTTGACAAACTTGTTGTCCCCAGTACCACTCTTTTGTATCCATCTTACAAGAACAATAACCAAACACGCAGTGGCTTGGGTTGGGTCTGTGCAACCAGAATGTACCATTCCATTGGGCACATGGAATTTCCAAAATTTCAAACCGGAACATGAATTGAATGGAAAGTGCCCAATCATCATTGAGGGAAGAATAAAAGAAAAGGGGCCACCAGGTAGACCTCGAGCGGGAATGCTGGATAGAGTGAAGGATGGCAGCCCTTACGTAGTGGTCAAGAGGCATGCCTAAGATCAAGAACTATAAGGAAGGACCTGCCTGTGGGCAGAACACCCACACAGCTGATTGGTGCGTCCCCACTATAGATTCCGAAAGTCTTTCCTTCTTGTTTCTAAAGTGGTCAATGGAGGGACTGTACAGATATTTTTCAGAACCACACTGTTAACTTTTGAGATATGACACAGCCTGAAAAGGATACTGTTGATTTCTTGGTATATGTAGCCTGGCGTTGGATTATCATCATCAAAAGTAGCTCTACTTAGCATTGGCATCTGCAATAAGATGCCTTGGTTGATTAGTTCCAGTAATATCAAATTGCAATTATAAAGTGTTTCTTTCCCTGCTTCAAAAATGCAGTTGTTAAGTTTCCACGCACCCTTAGAAAGATACAATGTAAATCTAGAGTGCAAACCAGAGTCTATGCGTAGAAAATAGTTAAGTCAGTTCCCATTGATCCAAAGACCTGGCTCTGACCACTAACTTAACAGGTTTAGAGGGCCTCAGCAGCACACCTCTACCCGAAGTAGTCAATCGATAAATTAAATCGATAAAAATTGGTAAATCTGATTTTATTGATATCGACTGTATCGATCAATCGGTAGAAATCGATGACACACTTGTTTCGTTTATCGATTTATCTTTAATTTTTACCAATTTCATCAATTCATATCGGGGGACACATCTGTTCATGATCTGTTCATCAAAAAATTAAAACTGAATTCATGCAAACAATAAATTTATTGACAATTGAGTAGCAATTAAGAGCCGTTGTTGAAAGTGACTGACGATTCGACAATCTGTGTGGTAGTCATCTTCAGAGTCAAAGTTGACAGTAAATAAGATTTATTCTCCCTTTGCAGACAAAGATGGACAAAATTGAAGAAGAATAAAACGCATTGCAACAGTGGTTTTTGAAAACTTGTTAGCTTAACAGTCCTTCAAAGTGTTTTGTTCTTGCTTGTAACGTTTGACATAAGCTTAATGCTTTTTAAGACAAATTTGTTTGACATGAAGCTGTGATTTTGTCATTTACAAGAAATTCTCTCTATAATTTACAAGAAATTCCCTCTATAACGTAAGTCACGTAAGGAATGGTAGTTTTATACATTGCAGCAGTATTGACAAAATAAACAACACAGTCGTGACAAGGCCCCTTTAAACAATGTAGGAAGCACACATAGAGTCATTGGAAAATTTTAGAACTAAAAAATTATTTGCTGATATTAACTGAACCTTACCTTTTTCGCAAATGAAAATGTTTCTGAAATTCTTTCAGCGATTTGGGCAGCCATTTTGAATACGAGCCTTCCCCCCTAAGGCCTGCGGTTTTCACGTCGTTAGCCTTAGGTACTTCATATATGAGGTACTTACACTATAAGAATCATATATGAAGTACCTACCAAGTTTCGTGCAGAACGTAACGAACTCCAAAACGAGGCAGAAAACAAGCTCAGTTTTAGTGAGTGTTTATTTTTGCGAGGCATTTTTAATGGTTATATCCCTGGGAATTTATAGATTTCATAGATCTTTGAGTTGCTTCATCGTTGTCCTGACAGCTATTGCTGCTTTAGGTAAGCCGAGTTCTTTAAATTTAATTGATTGGAAGCTGATTACGTAACTTAAAGGAAATCGCGGGCCGGGTGCAAACAAAGCCCCTTTTCATAATTTTCAAATTACTAGCCAAAGGAATCATAGTGATCAAAGGATTCGTTTTTTCAGATGTGTTTGTGGTTACAGCGTTTTGCCCGTTTCGTCGCTCTCAATATTTGCAGTTTCTGTGTAACAGTACAGGAAAGAAAAGGTACCAAAAAAAAAGTTAAACCGGTCTGACAAGGCGCCCGAAACCTCTTGAGGTTGGTTATGTCCCCCAAATAGTTTTCTAGCGCGTAGGCGCGTAGCTTGAAGACACGTAAATTAGGTGTATTTGTCGTTCTAAAAACTTTAAAAAGAAATAAACGTGGAGAGGCAGCAACTCGCCCCACAGGGCAACGGCTCAAAAGTAATTTTCGGGTGAGATAACCTTGTTAATGTGTAGGTCAGGTACAAGATTGGACTTTGATCGAAGATGTTATAATTCACATCGGTCAATGAAAACGCAGACTGCGGACTATTGTTTTCACCATGCAAATGAGAACATGACAACATTGTTTTCTAACCCTAAAAACAATAGTCCGCAGTCAGTCTGCAGTCTGCATTTTACATTGCCCTTAATTCCCATCAACCTGTACAGAGAAAATAGAGGGTCTGTGAACAGGCTACGTGTGGATCAATTATTGTGAGCAGCCACCTTCTGTAAACTACCACTAAGTCATCGCATTTTTGGTGGTTACTTATGGGAGGTTCGACTGTTTTTTTTTCAAGGTTGCTTGATTCAAGTAGGGTTTTTTTGGGGTGGTGAACCCTGATAGTGTACATACCAGGGGCATAGCCAGGATGTTTCCAGATGCAGAGTTTTCCAAATTGTGCTTCATGTTGTTTCATGTCACCCTGCAGTTATTCCTTTGAGCATAACTTTTTTTGACTGCACGGTGCAGTTAAATGCATGATCTATGACTGGCTTTAGTAATACACCTATTTCAATAAAGGTTGCTTTGAGAAACATGCTTTGGTCTTTGAATTAAGCCATTGTTTGGTGGTCACTCAAGCAAAGCATTGCATTGTATTCTGCGTTTCAATGACTAAATCCCAAAGCAACCTTTATTGACAATATAGGTGTATGCCATTGTTCCTTATTGGCTAAATGGGCAACCCTATTGTGTTACAGCAAAGCTGATGTGGTTTGGCTATTTCCTCAATGTAGAGTGGTTATGTGAAAATTCATGCTTTTTTTGCTTTGTACAGGGGTTTATGCTTGTTCTGTTTTGCTGTACATGTGCAATATAAGTACAAAACTGCCCAAAAATGTTTAAATTTTCGGATCTTGTTTACTGTGGGTAATGTCGACCGAGATATCGGTCGACATAGCGGTCAATATAGCGGTCGATAGTCGGTCGATAGTCGGTCGACAGTCGGTCGATAGTCGGTCGACAGTCGGTCGATAGTCGGTCGATAGTCGGTCGATGGTCGGTCGATAGTCGGTCGATGGTCGGTCGATAGTTGGTCGATAGTCGGTCGATAGTGAGATAGACTATTGGCCGAGTATCGGTCGATATTTCGACGACGCACCTCGACTTGCTATCGGTCATATGTCGGTGATATATCGGTCAACTGTCAGTGGTATATCAGTCAACTGTCGGTGGTATATCGGTGAACTGTCGGTGGTATATCGGTCAACTGTCGGTGGTATATTGGTTAACTGTCGTTCGAATATCAGTCGTGTGTTAATTTATCAGGTGAGTCCAATGGCTTTTTTTTTAAGCAAAGACGTCATTAATTACTGTTCATGACATGCTTCAATAGCGAGGAATACACATCTTTTATTATCGGGCTTTGACCTGCTTCATTACGCCAAGTTCTCGCTTGTGCAGAGACCACAAATTAAACTTATATATTTCTGTATTGAAGACGGAAACAGCCCTTTGTTTAACGATCAGTTATTGATAAAACGCGCTGATAATGTGCCGAGGAAGGTGACAAAAATATCCAGCAGGCTGAACACATTCATTTATTGTGGGATACGCTACGTTCTCATTACATTATCCTGTCCTTTTGCTCTGTCCTTTCGCTTTATATTTATATTTTGTTCAAAATAGAGACGACCATGCGTATACAGAAATTAATATTGAATGGTAAGTCACTTTTGGTCATCCACGAAAAGGAAAACAGTATGCGCCGCGTTAACATTAATATTATCTTAACTTGTTAAGGAAAAACAAGTTTAAAAAAATGAACTGTAAATACATTTTTTCATCAATGTAGTTCTGAGTCGGTTGAAAAATTCTCGGCATAGGAAAAATCAGCCAGATATAGGCCTTACACGGTGGGAATAAATCACATAACAAGAAGCTGAAGGCCTATCATTCTCACTTAGCGGACTTCTTCATGATTCAATTCTAGCCGGCTACGCGTAGCGAGACTCCCACCCCTGAAAAAAAAAAAGAGGGGAGGAAACGTCTGCGAAAAGGTGGTGGGCATCGATACAGATAGGCTAAATCCCGTTCACATGAATTAAAAGAAAAGGCTAGATAAATGACTAATAGCTATTAATCCGGAATTTTGGCTAAGTACATTGAAGTTTGAAATTAAAAAAGCAGAAACACAATTTAAAAAAACAGTTAGGTCCAAGCTAGAAAATGCTTTCTAATTCCTTGTTTTCCAAGCTAAAAAACGTAGGAAATGCTAAGTGTCGACCGACCATCGACGGAGTGTCGACCAATTACTGACCGATACATCGGTCAAGTATTGACCAACTATCGACCAACTATCGGCGAAGTGTCGACGAAATGTCGGTGTAATGTCGGCGAAGTGTCGGCGACAAGTCGGCGAAGTGTCGGTGAACGAAAAGCTATATCGGCCGAGACACATCTGGAACAACTATCGACCGTGTCTCGACTGAGTGTCGACCCACTATCGACCGACTATCGACTGACTATCGACCGCTATATCGACCGACTGTCGACCGAGCGTTGACCGAGTATCGACCGAGTATCGACCGACTATCGACCGAGTGTCGACCGCTATATCGACCGATATCTCGGTCGACATTACCCACAGTAAACAAGATCCAAATTTTCTTTACTTAGTGTAAGAGTTTCCTGTAAATCTAGACTGTAAAACAGCCAGCAGTCTACCCAGGGAGCAGAGGCTACATTTTTGCTGTGTGAACTGGCGTGCAAAAAGTAGCCTCTGCCGACAACCGTTCAAATCCGTCCAGAAATCTGGATGAATAAATTTAAATCATGGGCGTTTTCCTGTTCTTGACCAGTTTAAAGCGTTGCATGAGTCTTGCTTAGGAGGTCAGAGTTGTCACAATTTTTTTTATTCCCGCGAAACTCGCGTCATTTGACGACGGACCTGACAATTAATTTCGCTTGCGGATTGCATGATGAATTTCACACATACATGATAGAAAATTGAACAGTTGTCAGTAGAGGCTACTTTTCGCATGCCAGCTCACACAGCAAAAATGTAGCCACTGCTCGCGGTTACCAGCAGTCTCACTCTCCATTTTCAGCCTCACTCCAGACCTTTCCTTCGACCACTTGCGCATGTGTTCTTAACCTAGGCAAAAAATAGGCTGTTTTGCAGTCTATTGTATTAATCTAGATCTCACATTTTTAAATTTGAATTACCGATCCTTTATGACTAGAAGTTTACATTAATAATTTTGTATTCATAGCATCTTTTATTCTCTTTATATTAAATAGTTGTCATGGCAACTGTCATGGATCCTACTCTAGCATCCTCACCGTCAATGACATGTGAGTCAGATTGGAGGGGACTGAAGGTCAATTTGTTTGCTTTTGATTTTGATGGCACATGTACTCAAAAGGACACCACAAGTCTACTGTACAAGGCAACAGACAAGTACCTCACTTCCACAGAAGTGGAAAGGAAACAACTTGATGCTCTCTGGAGTGAATTAGGGAAAAGATACTGGAGTGGGCATCAAGATGTTGTCTCAAGGTCACTTTCTGTAAATGATTCTCCGAGTTTCTCTGCATTTAATGAAAAAGAACTGAGGTCATTTCTGCAAAAGGTGTATGACTATGACTTGACAATGATGAAGGAAATCGAGGGAAGTAAGATTCTACAAGGAATTTCCAAAGAGAGTATCAAGGAAGCTGCACAGGAAGTAAAACTTAATCCTGGCTGCTTGAATGTTCTTAACCATGTCAACTTGCCTCTGTATCTCATTTCTGTCAACTGGTGTCAAGATCTGATTCATGCCAAGCTGGGCCACCTTAAACATTTAAATATCTTTGGAAATAACCTTCCTCTTGAAGGCGAACTTTCATCAGGCCATTTAGGCAAGACTCTTACAAGTGCTTTTGACAAAGAGAGAATTTTTGAGGACTTGATTGGAAACACAACTGAAAGATCTGATGGAGTTTCAGTGTTTGTTGGAGATTCAATAACTGATTTGCTTGCTTTGCTGAAGTCAGATGTCGGTATACTGATCGGAAAGAGTCAAACTTTCAGGAAAGTAGCCAAGTCGTTTGGAATAAAGCTTCTTCCCTTGCAGGACATACAAGCGATGAAAGGTGGTGATTGTCATGAGAATGCAAATCCAAAACAGAAGGGAGTACTGTTTGAGGCACCATCATGGAATGAGATTGGTTTTATCTTGTTTGGAACAAAATACAGTCCTAATAAGTTCTAGAAAAATGCCATTAAAATAATTCCCATCCAATTATAATAATATTTACAAATGTAGAAAGTTGGGGTGTAAGGAAGATATTTGAATAGATGGATTGAAAATTCTTTCACTCCAAAGGTTTCATAATCTGATTCTCAGACAGGTTTATGACATTTGTCTCCATTCTGCACTTAAAGGGACCTCAGATAATCAGAGAATCAGGCATAACGGGAAAAAAGAAAACAGAACAAAAAGTAACCACAAAAAAGGAATTCTGTAAAGGTTTTATTGAATTGATTAGACAGCAGAATTCATTTAGAGACTTAATAATTACATTATTGTAGAACTGGATTGAAAGTCCCTATACATGACTTTGAGAGTAAAGGGGTTAAAATATGAAAACAAATTTTACTATGATTTAACACAAACACTGTAGGAGAAAAAAGCTACTGTTGGAAAGCATTACCACATTATGATAATGTGGAGGTGACAAAAAAATGTGTAAAGATGGGTAAAAGGATTCCCAGAGTGAAATGGAACATTTTACACCATTGCTTAAAGACAGCCCAAGACAAAGAGATGATACCACATACAGTGGAACCCCGCCTTACGACCATCCCATATATAAGACCACCTCGTTATTACGGCAATATTCTTTCAAACCAAGCGTAAAAACCATTGAGTCATTTTATTATTTTGAAGACGCCATTAATGCGACCACCTCATTATTACAACCAGGATTTTATGGCCCAACGGTGGTCGCATTAACGGGGTTCCACTGTACCATGTATGTATTAACCAGTTAGTGTCTACCCTGCAAGAAGAGGCCCATTGGTCTTCTTAGATAAGTTCATTTCATTATAAAAATCACCTGAGGTACTTACCATTTCCATTGTAAAACCATAAAAATTCTGGTTTGAAAATCAAATGGTTCATGCCATTCCATTTGGGGAGCTTTGGAAAATATGGGCTTTGATTTGAGGGGACGCAATTTTCCTACTCGTTTGAATTTGACCAACTGATTGGATACACTTTGTAGTGGGTGGTTCTCCCACCATGTCAATTTTTAAAGTGTTATGTTTCTATGCACAACATTTGTGTCGTGTTTGAATTTTATCCTTGGTTTGTGTGAATGGTAAGCTCTCCTGGATAAAACTAGAATCACTCTGTGGTTTTTGTCAGAAATAATAAATGATTGGTTCATTTTATCCACAGTTCACATTGGAGTTAAGTAACAGCAACTGTGCAAGGTAGATCAAACAATTTTTGAAAAATATGGTTTGGTTATTCAAGCCAATCTTCGTAGAACATTTTATTTATTTGATGCCTTTCCTTGCGTACTTAAAAAACTGATTTATTAAAATTTAATATGGTATTATGTTTTATAAAGATAACTGTCCCTAAATAAAGCTTAGTAATAAATCATATTAAAATTAGGTTTGGGTGTGTGCAAGCACTGTTAAAACATAACAAGAACTGGACACGCATACAACATGAGATGCAATGTATTAAGTGCAAGTGCTCTGGGGGAGGGGAGGGGAGTGGAGCACTCAAGCAAAGTTTGGGTAGAGGTGTACCCCTGAGGCCTTCAAACCCTGACCCTGTTTAAGACAAGAGACCTCATTATTTAAATGATCCCAATTTAATTCTTTTCGCATACAGAATTAAAGTATTTTTTTTTACACTATGATCATGTAATAAGAATTTTTTGGTTTGTATACCACAATTTTAGAGCATTACTGCTAAATTCTTTTTGAACTAGAATGAACCATAATACCATTAATTCATTAATACTATTCATGAGTTTTAAACTAAAAAAATAAAAATACTGTAATCTTGAAATGCAAATAAAAAGGAGTGCAAGAAATGTCAAGTGAGTGAAGCTTAACAATAACAAGTGGATTTGTCAGTCAGCTTAGTTGGCAAAAAAAAAGAGGAATAAATTTTGAAGATTCTATATTTGTTTGGAAACATTGAGCAGAATGAGCTCAACAATCTGAGTTGTTATCTGAAAATTCCAGTGTTTTAGGTCAAATGGTACTGTCGATTGCATCTAAGCATGGACACAAGACAAAAAAACATGTTCTGTTACAACAAGACAGACATGACATGTTTTGCCTCCAAACATTAATTTTGAAGTTTGACAGCCGTTAAAGCAGTCTACAAAATCAAAAACTTTCAACTTATAAAGCACTTGTTGTAGGTTAAAAAAAAAAAAAACTCAAGACTTCTTACCATTTTGTAAGACTTCACCCCTATTTTCCAGATTTTTTCCTGGTCTAGAAATTACTGGGCAAATTTCAAGACTTTTTCAAGAATTCAAGACTCTGTACGAACCCTGTTGATACTGTGAATGTGCGACTATTTGTACGCAGGAGATGAATGGGACATACTGGTATTTTGCTATAGAAAAAAAATCAAGAGAATATTGTTCTTAGTTCTGTTGCCTTAACTCAAGACCACAGCCTTAATAAGAGGCACCCAAAATTGCATAAATTACATATGCATCCTGGCTATTTTGACAGTTTTTCACTAAAATTTTTCATTACTCAGCTATGGGAATTTCAAGAGCACGTACTATGAAGCTATGAAGTACTCTAGAACAATGCCTGGTTTAACTTAGTCGCTGACAGGGGATATAGATTATTCATTTCCAAGCTAACATATTCCCTGCTTACAAAACAAATGTTTGAAAAATCCAAACTAAAATGACAAACATAAGAATAAAACCATTAGGTTGCTGAATGCAAAAGATATCACCAGAAATCCCGCCGAGAAAATATTTGGATATGGAATTACTTAGTTTTGCTGGGTTTCCCCCTGGAAACTCTTCGTCCTTCTGGGCATATTTTGCAGTTCAGACATGATTCACACTGTGGTCCTACAGGAAGACATGTTTGTTGACCAAATCCAACCAACAGTACATTCAATTCATCCCATTCCTCCCTGCCAAAAGAGAAGAGAACATTTCCTTTAATCTGCAGCAATTTACCCCACTATAATAATAAAAAAAGCACCAAGGTGTCAGAGGTGGGAGCCCTTGTAGAACCAGACATATGCAAAACCTATGCTCATGCTATTTGTTTACTATGTTGGACTATGTTTCAGCTATGTTATATTCACTACTGCCTATGTATTAACTATGTAACACACCAAACAACATAGTCCAAAGTATGCAAAATCTATGTTGAAACTATCTTTAGGCTATTTGAAAAGCCCATAGCTTTTGAATACCTATGCAAATACTATTCAAAATCTTTTCATAGTCTTTACATAGCTATGTATTTACTATGCAATAGAAAGTTCTGCTTTTCCTTCCGATTAGCATCCTATGTATTCACTATGCATCAGCATCAAAGCAAAATAGTTTTTACATAGCATCTCGATCTTCACTTTTATTTCCAACAAATTTCTTAGCTTTTACATAGTGCTATGTATATTCTATGCTATGTGATGAAACATATTTGCAGCCTATGTATTCGAATTAAACTGTCAACTGCTGTTGGGGGAGAACTTCCCTGAAAAATGTTAGAGTGATCATCATCATATCTTTCAGTGGCCTAAATTTCAGTTCTCTCCTCAAGTCAAACTCCTTAGAAAGACAGTGTTAAATATACCTACAGATGAAAAATCCATATGAAAAGTTGGTTCACATTTAGTTAGAGCCATTTTGTGGCAGTTTCATGGGTGGATTTCATAGGCCTCAGTGATTGATTTTTGTGACTGTTATAACAAGCTTATGTCAAGCTAGCAAAATAATATTCCAACTTCCTGTCACTTCCAAAGTCTGTTCTTGCATAGAGGTGCAATTTTAAATAATGGTGCTAAACGTCTGCCCAGAATACTGCATGCAGTTGACTGTTCCAACATTTGACATGAGTTACAAGTAAAGCAATTCTGTACTCTGCAGTCCTAATATCCTGGTGATAGTCATTCCCTTATTTACTGCTTGAAAATCATATTTTGGATTTTGCATAAAACAAAGGGGGTAGTGGTATTACTGGATGGTATAACAGTTGGTTGATTCATACATCTCTCTTAAGAGTTTGCAACTCAAGTAAATGGCTGAAATTCAGGCTAACCTTAGGGGTCAAATTTTGAAGCTGGTGTGCCAAGAATAATAGTGCTGTCACTTTTACAATAAGGTTAAGATCCAGAGCATTTGCTCTCATTTAAGGCTGGTCTATCTCTCAGGAAAAGGAGCTGGTCATTTGTCCCACAAATCCTCTTATATTTATTACGTTTGACTCATTTTCAAACTTAGAGTAGCTGGCTGACTTTACTGCAGTATCTGGCTACATATGAAGGCCTTGCTGAGCTCAGAAAAAATAATACACAAAGGCAGGGGCTTTGTCACAGCAAAGTCTATCAATATTACAGCTGCCTTAGAATATTATTGGTATAACTAAGAGTTAGAAGTTGATTTAACACATCCAAAAAAGTGGTTCTGCCAACTTTCATATAGATCTAAATATTAATGTTTCAAGAACCATACCACTCATGAGCCATTTCTAGATGGTAGGTACAGCAGAAAAGTAGCATTGGAATCAGTTTGGTTTGGCAGATGAGCTTAAACTTTTTTTATAGTTTAGACTGACATCTCTCGGATATGGGTGATTTGGCTCAAGCAAAATTATGCCATTTGAATGAATTGTGGTGGGAGTGGGTAATAGGATTTGAACTAGTAAGACCTCTAATAATTATTTGTGTATCGTCTAAACCTGTAGTTAACATTACCTTGGCAGCCAGCTCTCTACAGCGACTCTAGTTTCTTCAGGAAGTTTGGTGGGCTTTTTGACCCAGCCAAGTCTATTAGCAATCCTGTGGACGTGAGTATCAACTCCAATTCCCGTCACCTTCCCCCATGCTACATTCATGGTAATGTGTGCCATCTTGGGACCCACCCCTGGCAGTGCTGTCAGATCCTTTACTGTGGGTGGAATGTCACCTTTGTACGTTTCAGCACAAATTTTAGTTGCCTCCTTAATATACTCAGCCTTTTTCTGAAATTAAAAATAAAAGGAAAATGTCAGCTGAACTCATCATACTAAATCAAAAATTTAGTTATACACAGTCAAATTTGAATTGAGTGTCATGTGAATGAGAGCAGAAGAAAAGAACTTGTCTTGGATGACCATAAACTATGTCCAGGGTTGACAAAAGTAGCCGGCTGCTGGCGAAAATCACCACCTACTTGGTTAGTATTGGCCGGCTTCTCTGCTTGGCATTTATTTACAGATGACGTTTTTTAAATAAAATATCCCTGGACTGGCCGCTTATTTTGACAACTCAGCCGTCTTCTTCAAAACTTTCTGACAACCCTGTATATGCTAATTTTTCATAGTTATAGGAAGAATTAAATTTGAGTATTATCAATATAAGTACACTTGTATGATAAACCCAAACAGAGGAACCAATCCTACTTTCCAGTTATTAGTTAGCCTGTTTTAGTATGTACAGTGTTTAATCAACACTCACACTCACCTTCCAGAAACCAACTGGGTAAATCAGCTCCCCTATTTTACTTGTAGGTGTTTTAAGAATATTCTCTACTGTTAGGCCATGTGCTTTTAACTTTTCCATGGCTGCAAATGTGACTTGGTCTTTTGTTTGACTTGATAGCATGAGAGAAATAAGGACTTGGTAACGAATGGTCTGCAAATTAGGCAAAAAATACAAGTTCTTCATCCTTATCATCATTTTTCTTTCTTGTCAGTCCTTGTAGGGAATAGTCACCTATGAAATCCATAGTTGATGCAACATCTTGATGATAAATCATTCCCCTTCAATAATGCACTAGTCTGTGGAAAGCCCCGCACCCCTATACCTGGGGAAGAGCATGGCATTAGGCCAGGCCTGCCTTGTAAGTGAAGCAAATTCCCTGCTATATGTATGCAGAACAATTTTGAAGGTCAAAGCGACACTTTTGTTCTCCACCTCAGGGCAATACAGTACTTCAGAAATCACAAATGTACAATGATGACCAAAATCAATATATCTAAAGGTTTTTTGCCTCCAAATGAACTGTTGCAACAAAAAAAAGTAAAATAAACAATGCCTTGAGTTACGGAATTGGCATTCCAAATTTTTTAACCTCTCCAAATGATTATATTATGATTACACGAGCCCTCCAGCTTAATGGACCCACCCAGAACAATAATATTCCACCTATTTCCTGTCAGAAGCAAGGTTATGTGCTTCTGATCCTGTACCATGCTTATTCAAGATGGCATAAAAGCAAATCCCCATCTAAGCCCTGCCAATGGTCCTTGCTTGCTGATGGCTTGCATCTAATATTTTTGAAAACACCACATGTCATGGCAATAGAAACAGTACTCAATACATTAAATGGAATAATAAGATGGTTAAATTTATAACAGGCCATTTTTATGATGATGTCATTTTCCCTTAACACGGACCAGGCTGCTTCAGGATTTCGTTTTCTCATTCTTGTTGCTATACAAACCTCATTGGCATGCTTAAATTGAATTGACTAAGCCCTAAGCTGAATTCAATCACAGCATGAAAATGGAATAAGCTTATTAATCTGAACAATAAGCCCTAGAGTAATGGTACAATAATTACATGATGTGATTTTGGTTAATTACTTGTTGATCATATGTGACATCATGGAAGCTTATCTGAAGGCTCTTTGCATGAATCAGTCAGTCATAAGCTCAATTCAAAGGGCAAGCACGTTACCCAGCCCTCCCTCCCAAGGGAATCTATTGATTCAGTTACGACGTCATTCGCTACCTGGGGGGTCACTCCTGGCAATTCTTGGCAGGAGTGTGCCGCCTGGTTCTTCAAATCCTGACCTGATTTAGGAAGAAAGAATGTAATATATTATCCACACCCGTTTTTAGACTAGACCTCTAAAATCCATAGCCGTTTTCAGACCTGGCCTTTATGTTATCACTACTTAGATTAGGGCGAAAACACAAAAATTATTCAAATCTATTTGGAATGTGCATTTGCATATTTCTCTTTCTTCTTACTCATTTGGAATTGAAACGATAAAAATGTTCATACACTCCCGTTGTTCCCTCGAAAACCATACCCGATTCTAGACCAAAATGAGCAAGGTGTATATCCGTTTTCAGACCAAAACGGCGCAAAAGCCCTACCCGATGGGGCGGCAAATACCTATATAGCTTAGTACCCCCCCGCCCCCCGCCCCGGTTCGCTACTCAGTGTACTTGTTGTGGAATCTGACTCAATAAACCCACAAACTGCCCAACACTCACCTCAGCTGACTGGTTCATATCAGCTGTCTTTTCACATCCTTGGGAATCTACCGGTGCGTCCCGTAATTTTCTCATTTCACGGATATTAGCTAGTTGTTCCCTCCAGTTAGCAGGTTCCCAGTCTGAAGACTGTTTTTTTGTTACAGAAGTATCCTTCTTACGCTTCTTAGAGGCTACATCTTCTTTTAAATCATCGCTCGCTCGTTCTCTCCCTCCATCTTGGTTTTCGGACTCGTATTCGATCTTCACGTGCTTTCTCACAGGTTTCTTTTTCTTTCCCAGCGCATCTGCGGCCGCTCTTGTAGCCGAACGCGTTTGTCTTCCACTTGCCGTAAAATAAGGAGACGAAATCATCCTTATGATTGTAGAAATAGAACACCTGATCATATGTTTACAAGAATTCAGCGACCGACCGCCATTGTTTTCGTTCTGTGTTGACGACTTCTGGCGGGAAACTGAGGTGTCTGGGTTTTTGACGTGTGGGGAAGGGGTCGACATTTTAAGATTCTATATATGTAAAAGTTGTCAAACTAAATAAGAATATTACGATTAAAAGCAAATCCACGCTTACTTCAAGAATAGACAAAAAATAATTTTCGCCGCCGTTTCTTTCTCTGTGACAAAATTTAGAGTTAAAATCTTGAAAAAGAATAAAAAAAATTAAATTATTAATAAATTTTCGCATTATTTTGGTGTCTTTGTGTTTGTATTTTCTTTAACAAACGTAGTGAGAACTGTACACGCCTTTAGCCTTTATCTCAGTCCTAAACTTTCAAATTTCTACTTACTTTGTTAACAAGTTCCTTGCAATTATTATTTTAGCGGAGCGCCCGGGCGCGAAGCGCGCGCAGCGGAGCACCATGGGAAAGAATGCATCCAAGAAATTTTGGTTCTGACGAAAGTACGTACGTACATCCACCCCTTCATGTAAGCAGGATTGGAATTTTGCATTTCAAGTACCCGCGGGTTCGGCGGTAAATCGCATGGCCACCCGGACTTTTAAAGAAAAAACAACAACAACGAAGTCGACATTGACGTGGATAACAGAGAAAGAGCTAGAGCAAGAGATAAAAAACAAAGGAGACCAACTTCCTCGTAAGAATGACATGAAAATTTTAGAACTGCGGTAAGAAAACGAGAAATGCTAGCGGCCCCCAAGGTGAAAATGAGTTGCAGCGAACAAAAAAGTGAACAGGAACACTTTAAAACGTGTAACTAGGAAGTTTCTGGAAGCCACGTTGTAGTCGTGCAAAACAACGGCAAAGAAATGTACAAAAAAAGCGTGCGAAGTTGTTTTTGGAAGGGGTATAAGAGGAGGGAGACGACTGAAAGGGCGGGAAGTGGGAGTTTAAAAAGGGCGGAAAGCGGCGTAAACAGAGGGAAGTAACGCAACAATGCTTAATAGATCGCAGTCGAAAAAGGGCTAACCGCAGAAAGCCAAGAAATCGCGGGCTGGAGGCTAGAGGTTTGGACCCCCTCTTACCGCTTGAAATCGGGCCAAGTTGACCCAGAATATGATTGATCCAGGATAGACCCTTCATAAGTGTACTTCAGTTCGATAATATATTTGCCCAAATATAGCTCGATCAACGTCAAGTTAAAGTGTCTTTTCATTTCTTTCCAGAAATGCGTTTATATTCATGTTTTGATTGAAACGCTCTTCTAAAGAAATGAGTATCGACCAATATTTATATATAAACACTGGGGCGGACTAGACGGTCGTTAGAGTTGTTCAGAATACTCACAAAAAGTGTTTATCGAGTGCAAGTTTGAAAATTGTCGCGACATGATTCTCAGTTATTTTTTACCGGCCTTGGCTTGATCAGGAGCTGATTACGTGCCTTGATAATACCTTGCATTTAGTATATATTCTAACAAGAGCCATTATGGCTCTTGATTCTTAACATTGCATAAACCACTTAATAACACCGCAGCGGGAGTTCGTGAAGCTAATTTCTAAAAATTACAGTTGATGACCTATTTTGACTTTCCGCATTGAGCTGTTTCGAAGATGAACATAATCTGAAGTACATTTTAATGTTTAATCACCACAATTGCAGCAATAAATGGTGATCCGATGTTGTAAAATATCCTCCATGTCCTCGAACCACTCGTTTTACACAGGTTTTCCAAAGCTAGGCAAACTACCATCTATATCAACCCTACCAACTAAAGATTGACTAAACTTCATTTCTAAGACCACTCTTGATTACCGAATCTGATAAAAATAGGGGGTCATTTTTTATATGTATTAAAAATCAAATGCAAAACAGTTAATGTACAGATGTATGACATAAAACCTCTTAAGCGGTCTGTAACTATGGAAAACACTCCAAACACACCTGTTCCGCGGCGCCAGAGTTGCCCTCTGTTAAGTTAAATAGTATGATAAAATATTAAACGAATAATCAATAGCACTCTTAGTTTTCGCGATGACTTCTTCAGAGAAGAGGAAAATTGCTGTGAAGAAGAGCAAGTTAAGAATGAGTAGACCTGGATTATGGTTTATTTTTCAATTCCTCTTAAGCTGGAGATTAGGAAGTCCAATGAACTCTCTAACTGGGACATCAAATCCGAGCAGGTTATTTTGCGCACGATATGGAAGATTCGAACAACCTAAAAAAGGTGAGTTAAAATTTGAAATTTATGCTTTCATTTTCATTGTTTAGACGCCCAGATGATTGAAATTTCAACTTCGATGCTCCTTTTAGTTTACCCTGTGAGCTGAGGTTCTTCGATCTTCCCAGGGGCACCCAACGACTGTTTTCTGTAAAATCTCTGCCGTTCGGAGAAGCAAATATATTGCCTAGAATTATCTTTAGCTTGAGGACGGTTTAAATTTCTAGACTGATGGAACATTCCATTCATGTAATATTTTCGTAGCTCATCTAATAAATTCCCTGAGATTTTCTGAAGTTTAACTTTTCATATTTTATTACCCAGGTTACACTATTTTTCTTAGAAATATGAAAAGGAAACCTAAAATTTTCGGATTCTAAAATGTGAAAGGAGAGGAATCAGAAAAATTCTCACTTTCGTAAAACGTTAAATTACACATAAAATTTTCGGAAAAATAATACTGAAGCAGTTGTAAGCTCTTGTAGTTTCGAAAAGACTTCAGCTCCCCTGAGATGACCTAACAGACACAAATTTTGTAGCACCACTTAGAATACATTTCTAGTCTGGATAGCCTAAAAAGTGTTTCCAACGTATTTTGGAGGAAACCGTCGATGGGTGCCCCATGTCTTCATTCGAAGTACCTCTGCTAGCCACTCGCAGGGTACTTTTAATTATAATGCGTGACACCCGGGCGTGATATAAAGTAAACAACGGCTATATTTCAAATCGGCTTATGCGTTCGTCCCTCTTGACGCACTATCACGACTTCTACACGACTTCTACACAATATCGACTCTTCAACTTCGATCAAATGCTGATTTATCTAGTGCACAAATATTATTTATGGAGAAGACTTTTGTGATACATAGAAAGCGTTGAGCTCGGGGGAAAAAAGGAAAATAAAAACTGAGGCCTTTCAACAGTTTGGCACGTTCACGTTGTTTTTTAAGAGTCAAATGTTACATTTAATTAAAGAGAAAGTTTAGGCAATATACCTTGAAACGTCTCTCCGACACTTTTTATAAGTAACAGTCATCCGAATCAGTCATGAAACAAAAATGTGCCTCTGAACGTTTCAGCTTCGTACTCCCTCAGAGTCTTAGTTGTTGAATTTGCATGCTATTATGCCAAATCTTTTTCATCCTTTTTTCGAAATAATGCTAAAAGAAATTACAAAATAGGAGTTCTCTTCTTGACGTGTGATCCTGTCCTGAACTTGCCAGGCGACGCTATTCCATGCATGGATAGGAGAATTGGCGAGGTTTTGTAACACACCAAGAGCCACTATGGCTCTTAAACATAGTATTTCTAGTTAATAGTTATTTGAGAAAAATGTAACAAAACCAACGTATAAAATATTAAGTATTTTATTGTTTCAAACCTTACTAAGCTATGGACAACCTCAGGGCAATGTAAAAAATATAAATTGCTTGCAAATTTATTTCTTATCTGATAACTGTAATAGGCCTCAAGGCGGTTATCAAAATGTAACAAGCTGTAATCCATCTCCGTAACGTTTAATTAGAAGTAATTAATGTTTTGCGCGTGTGAGCAGCTAAGAAAACGGATTAAATTCTAAGAAGACAAATAAATTTCAAGCCCTTAGAGCATCAAACGCATACAATGGCTTACAAATAGACTCTATCTACGTGTTAAAAAGGCTAGGAAAAAAAACTAGAGCTAGATAAGGCTAGAAAGACGAAAAATTTACAATTGTTTAAAAATCTAAATTTAAAAGCAAGAAGACAGCACGCATATGCCTAGCGCCCGGCCTGTTCGTACACCCTTTTAAAAAGGTAGGTTCCAAAAAACCTTTTAAGGAAGAAGAGAACCTAATTTCGCGTGACAGAGAATTCCATAAAAAAGGAGAAGCGCATGAAAAGCGCCCTAAAGCTATATAGGTACGTAAGTTGTAAGCTGGTTGAACTAACTGCTGACTTTGCGCAGACCGGAGATTACGTTCAGGTACATAGATATCAATGAGAGAGGAAAGATATTTAGGAGCAAAATCATTTAGCGCTTTGTATGTTAATAATAGCAGCTTAAAAATTATTTTTTATTTAACTGGCAGCCAGCGAGACTATATAAGAAAGGCGTGAGTGCTCCTTCTTGGCAGTCGTAAGTCACAATCCTTGCAGCGGCATTCTGAACTTTCTGTAAGCGTTCTATATATGAGGTGGGCAGGAAGACTGCATAGAACTGAGTTGCAAAATAAATCAGATCAAGTACAGAGGTTACAAACGCATGGACCAGAGTTTCAGTACAACTATGGCCTTTTTTGTCTTTAACGTTTTCTTTGAGTGAAAAACATATCGGCTTCTGTACCAAGTCGGTTTAGCTGTTTAGGAAGACGAGACCGGCCACTATTGACGTCGCACACAGCACACGCAGTCAAACGTTTAATGCATGTGGACGTTTCTTGAAACAATTTGACACAAACTAGAGGTGATTATAGCTCATTTTTGCCAGGGTTAGTCATAATTTTTTTAAAATTTACTTCTTGTCTTTTTTTCCTGAGAATATGTAGGTTACGCTCTGGTTAATCACGTGATTGCTACATATATTGGTATCGCATGCCCTCTGGACTGCTCAAAGGAATGCGTAGCTGATGTTCGCTGTCAATCCTTCAACTGTGCTGAGTCTGGAAATAAGTGTGAATTAAATGACCAACGGAGGGAAACTAGACCAAGTGACTTTGGTACCAGAGAAAATGCTACATACTTTGGTCCCACGCCTCAGCAAGTGAGTTATAAAAGCTTTAATCGTAGGCAATTTCCAAGTTCCACAAACTCCCACTTTCAAAGCGAGGCTAAGTGCCAAACCTTTCATGCGAAAATGAGTTTCATTTGCATAAGACTAAAAAAATATTTTCATCTGAATCGCTTAGCAGTTAGCCTTGCTTTGAAACAGAGGCTTGGGGCAACGCAGAAATGGCGTTCCTTTCTGAAACTGGACAACGCGCGTCGATCTAAAAATCGATTCAGTGACCAATGATAAAGCGGCAAATTGACAGCGAAGTCGGGTTGAGTCCTTCCGAGCTCTTTCGCCTTCAGTGTGACGTTGCGTTGTCTCTGCTAAATCTGTCTGATATCTTTCACAAAGGTCATTTAGAAGCAAACAGTAAACGAAATTCTACACTTACTGTACCTTACATACCCACCTACACATAACGGGACCACTGACTTCTGTCCCTAAGGTGGTCTCTAGCCTGCGTATCAGTCGCTTGGAAGTAGTGGGTGCAAGAAAGAACGAGCGCGCGAGAGGGAGACACGCGAGGCGCGCCCGTTCTTTCTTGGGCCTGCTACGCAGGCTAGGTGGTCTCTGCAGAGTAGTTACATTGTATTAACCCCTGCTCTCCTGAAAACCTGGCCAGGAAAATGTGTTTTTTTTATCGTTTTCGGTAACAATAGCACGTTTGTTCATCTCCGCCGTTTGTGATGCATGTCCTTTCTATTAGGAGGGAACTGGAAGCGGTTGCATGTCGGTCACTTGTCAACATGGTGGAACATGCGTAGACTCGTGCTGGAATCCCCAGATGTTCACTTGTGAGTGTCGCAAAGATTATGAAGGAGTTTTCTGTGAAAAGCATAGCGGAGGTAAGGAATATCTTTATTATACAAATTTGCTCACATATACGCACCAAATTGGTAAAGATATCCAGTTTCCAAACTGGATATGGTCTCCGATCCGAGAAATTTGAACTCGTCATATTTGACAATATTCTAACCTACGACCGCCCAGGCACCAAGCGAGCGCTTTACGTACAGAGAGACTCCTTCTTGAGTAGGGCAAGGCCATTTACTGCTGGGCGTTTTATATGCGACACGTGTCATCCATACTGTGACAAAAAAAGCCAATGTCGAAAGCGTAGCGATGAATAAAGATGGAAAATTCGATTTCTAAACTCGGTGGTAAATAAGAAAGTGGGGCAGAGATAAAGAATCGTGAATAACCGATAGGATTTCCTACCGTAGGGTAACATATAGACAGAATCGGGTCTTATTCACTTAGAAAACTTTCACTTTATATCCTTGCAGTGAAAACTTGTCAGGAGCTGAAAACGCTAGGCGAGAATCTTGACGGTGTTTATGATATCAATCTCGATGGCCAGGGAATCATCAACGTCTTTTGTGACCAAACGACGGACGGTGGTGGGTGGACTGTGGTACAGAGACGCTTCTCTCCATACAGTGCCAACTTTGAACGAGTCTGGCTCGAATACAAAAACGGCTTTGGCGACCTTTCCGGGGAATTCTGGCTTGGCAATGACAACCTGCACCGACTCGCTGCGTCCTCCAGC